CCATTCTGTCCGCAAATAGGAAAGATCATTTTTCACCAAAACAAAGTACCTCTGGAATTTCAAAATACTTCCCGCATAAGCAATTAGAAAAAATCCAGATAAAATCAGATCACCGGAACAAAACATCCCATGGTTAAATTTAAATTTCATATTACGGAACACTGAAAGTGAAAAACAATCATCAGACCTGAAGACAAAATTTTGGTGGCCTTATACATCTTCATAAGGTCACCAAAACAAACCAATTTACACATTACGAGGAGAAAAAATTTGAGGATCGCTCAAATATCACATTAGAATACTCAAAAAGACAAAAAACAAACGAAAAAAACACACAAAAACAAAAATTCTTGAAGTTGGCAAGTGTAAATTGCAGATATCCTGCAAAACAGAGAGAAGGGAGAAATGCCGTGTCTGGCCAATGCAGCAGCCACAATGTAAAACAATGCATACATGTGAACCGTAACATAACTTCTGTTCGAAGCCATAGTCAGAGGAGTTTTTTCTGCACCGAAAGTGCGTCCAAACTCCCGAAACAAATAAATCTTCACAGAAAAGTTGCGCAAGTGAAAGGCAGAAAACTGACGAAACTGAACTTTTACCAAAACGGCGCAAATTCCATCTGACGGGTGCCGAAAACGGTCTGGGAATGATGAAGACTTTTCAAACGGGAAATATGAAACAAACTCCGCACTAGAGCAAATGGTGTTTTACAGTATTTATAGTTCAGAAGAATATACCGCTCCGGCGGTCAGCGATCATCACTTCGATCAGAAAGACCAAAGGCACCAAAAATAGCGGGAGCAGAATCCGACACTGATTTTCTTATGAACGAAGCAGAGTTGCAAAGTTAAAACTAAAACTCTCTTCATATGTCGCTCTTCATGGACAGTAAAATTTAAACAATCGAAACATTTGTTCTTTTAAAAGCAACAAGCCACAACTGTTATGCCAAGCGGAAGAAACTAAAGACAAACACTCTACGTTCCAGTTTACTACAAT